GAGAACAAACAAGATTTCGCGCCTTCGCAATCGCGGAGCCTCGGGAGTTCCCGAGAGCACGTCTACAGTCGATCCGGTCCGTCTAGAGGCCGAGGGCCTGTCACGACCCAAACCCGCTCCTAAGGGTTTAGCATCGTAACCGGCTAGTAATCTGTGATTACTGAAGGCCTGATTAACAATAAAAACGGTAATACAATATATAAAGGGGTTGGCAGAAGCCAATCAGAAATAAGATATGTCCAATGAGCTGTGAAAACATGAATGAGAAAAACTTTTATGGACATAACCACATTCATAGCCATATACGCATATACATATCTGATACACATAGCATATAGGTTAGGGACCTAATCCCTTCACCATAACTATACAGTCCAATGTCTTAAACATTCATACATTAACAGAGACAAAAAAAGGTGAATTTGAAACACCCCAAAACAGCATTGGCTCGAGCAGACTCGGAACCTCAAAGTGAGGCACAACGGTTGGCTTGAAAAACATAAACTTAACTCGACGCTTCTAGCTTTGGTCCGGAGCCTAGCCATCTACATATATATATAAACTGTGAGCTAAAGCCCAGTGAATTACAAATGTGAAAAGGGGTTAATAATGAATGTCCTTTCAGTAAATTAAACAGTCAATTGGATCTGTAGATCAGTTATTCAATTAGTGCCTCATATTTCATGTCATATCAGTCATTTAGAAATCATAGCAGTCATACATGGTACATCCAATAGCAGAACAGTATAGTAGGTCTTAATAGACCGAACAGTCAGCTGATGGCCATCAAAACAATAAATAGTAGTAGTTCCAAACATTGGAACTGACAGAGATTTCTATAACAGTAACAGTAGTAGTACAGTAACAGTAACAGTAAGTTGCTATGGATGCCACGAGTACAGTTCATAAAATAGGACAAACATTCATTCAGCGAACAATATCACTTCAAGAAGCAGTACAATCAATCGTTCATAAGATAATTATAATTGAATATATCTTTACAACATTGTTACTCACAGATTACTGGGCTATAAGCGGCTAAATAGCTTCCTTGGGTGCCAGATGTACACAGTTACAGAATGAACACACACTAAATTACACACTCGGGATTGATAACTTAGCCCCTAACTTGGTTTGGTGTGATTCTATAACATTATCCTCATTATGATGCCTTAAACATAGCCTAAGAATGCCTAGGATGGAGTGAGAATGCAAAAATGTACTTAAAAACATTTTTCAAAGCTTGCTGAAAACAGGGGTCTCGCTCGAGCGTAGACCCCTTCGCTCGAGCGAGCTGACTGAATGAGAGAGGTCGCTCGAGCGTAGACTCTCTCGCTCGAGCGATCTGCAAAAATGTGAAAAGTACTGGTTGCTGAAATTCTCCGCCCGATGCTCGCTCGAGCGTGCGACATAGTTATTCGCTCGAGCGTAGGTCTCGTCGCTCGAGCGTGCGTCTGCACACGTAAAAACTTGAGAGCTTGCAATTTACGCTCAAGCTAGCATTCCTTCGCTCAAGCGGAAGTTTGAAAACAAGGTGGTCGCTCGAGCGTGGGATCCTTCGCTCGAGCGAGGAAACCGAATTCTGGGTTTTCCAGATTTGCTCCCAAGCTTCAAACCATGAATCAAACATGCCAAAACACATCCTTTTGGGCCAATTTCTGGAAAACACTTAAAAACTCATAACACAACATGTTTTGAAGATCATTTCATAAAATCAAAGCCCAAAAGTATGACAATTGAACACAATTTCAATGTAATTTTTATGAACAATGCAAGAACACAACATGCATGAGGTTTCTTGATCTTGAGCTTCTCAAACCTTGATCAAATGCAACATTCAACTCAAAACATGGTGAATTCTTGGATTTTAACCATGATAAGAACATGCATGTGAGAATTTCATAGAAATGAACTTCAAACTCCATAGTATGGACATGCATGCATGAATCAACTAAACTCCCTTGGATTTAAGCTCAATTCTCCCATTAATTCACCTATTTAATTCATATGTAAGTCCTAGATGGCTCAATAACAAGATTAAAAGGTTGAGCTCTTACCTGAGCTCTTACCTAAACTTCTCAATCAAACTTCACCTAAGCCAAAACCTTGAGCAATGTAGACAAGTCTTCAATTCTTCTTAATTCAAGCAAAATTTCTTGTTGAGTTCAATTTCCTTCAAGTCTCTCCCTCTCTCACGTTTGACTAAGGAGGTGGAAGCTAATGGTGTCAAACATCTATGAAATGAGAATAAACAATGGCCTTGAAATAATCCACTTAATGGCAAACATGTAATTAACTTAGGTTCAATTAATTCAGCATGATTTATTCTAATTTAATCATCCCAAATCGAAATTTAATTAAACCTACCATAAAATTCTATAAATCCTAATTAGCATATAACACAAGTCAATTTCTGAACCGGTTGCCTATAAGGCGTTCAATTCGTAATTTGAAATCAAAACACGAACAGATTTTTCTATATCGAACATATAAGAATGCAATTAAAACAACACACTCACATAATTAATTTAGGATTTCATCTTAGTCAATTACTTGTCATGCTAAATCATGAATTGACGCTAATCAAAGGTGAGGGTTGTCACAGGGCCCAATGCCCGAACCCATCATTCTAATACAGTTGAGCCACAGTCCCCAGCTCTGGTTGTTTCTTCTGCTGATATCTCTGGTTTTTCTACTTCTGAATTGGAGGTTGCTTTTCACCACTTGCTAGGCCGTCGGACATCTAGTTCTTCTTCAGGTAACTTTGCTATTTAGGTAACTTAGCTTCTTCTACAAGTGCTTTCCTATCTCATCACACATTGCCTTGGATTATTGATTCTGGTGCTTCAGACTATATGTTTGGGTCTTCTGATTTGTTCTCAGCATATACTCCTTTTTCAGGACAGGATAAAATTCAAATTGCCGATGGTACCATTTCTTCTGTGTCTGGGAAAGGTTTAATTCATACCACTGCTTCCCTTCCTTTGTCTTTTGTCCTACACGTTCCTAATTTTAGTGTTAATCTTTTATATTTGAGTTGTATTATTCGGGACTTAAATTGTAGTGTGAACTTTTTTCCTGATCATTGTCTGTTTCAGGACCTTATCATGAGGAAGATGATTGGCAATGGTAGAAACGAGAATGGTCTCTATATCCTGGATCATGCAGACAAGCTGGCTCATTCATCCATTCAGTTACCATCTACCAAGGAAGACCTATGGTTGTCTCGTCTTAGGCATCCATCTTTTTTGTTACTTCAATATCTTTTTCCTTGAGTTTTTTTGAATAATAATGTTTCTGAGTTTCACTGCGAGTCATGTCAACTTGGAAAACAACACAGACCTTATTTTGCTCCTTCTATTAATAAAAGTTTAGTTCCTTTTTCATTGATTCATTCTGATGTATAGGGTCCCTCTCGTTTTGCGTCTTTAAAAGGTCAAAGATGGTTTGTCACCTTTATTGCTGATTGTTCTAGGACCACCTAGGTATATCTTATAAAGGACAAATGTGAGATTTTTTCTGCGTTTCAAAATTTTCATAAAATGATTTGCACTCAGTTTGGGGCGGTTGTCAAAATTCTACGTTTTGATAATTTGAGGAGGATGAGGGAATACATTGACTCTGGCCTTGCCAGCTATTTTTCCACTCATGGTATTATTTACCAAACTTCTTGTACTAATACCCCTCAACAGAATGGTGTTGTAGAGCGTAAAAACCGCCATCTTCTTGACACTACAAGCTATTTGTCCTTTGAAATGCATGTTTCTCGATCATATTGGGGGGAAGTTGTTCTCACTGCGGCCTTTCTCATCAATCGTCTACCTACCCAAGTTCTCAACAAACACACTCCTCTTCAAGTTTTGTTAGGGTCCCACTCTTCTAGTTTCTTCATTTCTCTCAAAACTTTTGGGTGTATGTGCTTTGTTCATAACCATTCTCCTACCCGTGGTAAGTTGGATCCTCGGTCTCTTCGATGTGTCTTCCTAGGTTACTCTGCCACCCAAAAAGCTACAAGTGTTATCATTCACCCTCTCGGAAATGGTTTGTCTCTATGGATGTGTCTTTCTTTGAGTCTCAGTCCTACTTCCTGTCCTCACCAGTGTCCCATCATCCCTTCAGGGGGAGCCTTGGTGTGAAGCAATTCCTGTATCACTACTATCAAGGATTGAGCAGGATGTTAAGGGTAACCCAGCTACTAAGATTGTTGAGTCTAAATCTGCATCCACAGTGAAAGATGGCAAAGTTTATGTTAGGGACAAGGATAGAAACAAGTTACTTGGGTACAAGAGACCAATTCAGATTCTCCACTGCTATCTTCTCCTTCTGATGAGTGTCCAGAATCCTCTTCTGCTGATGAAACTTCAGGTAACCCTATTCTTTCTGATCTAAATGTTTCCATTGCTAATAGGAAAGGGGTTAGGTCTTGTACTCAACATCCTATTTCTCATTTTGTCTCCTACACTAATCTGTCTTCTTCTTATAAAGCTTTCCTATCTAAAATTTCTTCTGTGAGTCTTCCTTCTAATTTTCAGGGTGCTCTTTCTACTCCTGAGTGGAAGCATGCCATAATGGAGGAGATGAGAGCTCTTGCTAAAAATGGCACTTGGGAATTGGTTGAGTTACCTAAGGGCAAACGACCTGTTGGATGTAAGTGGGTGTACATTGTGAATCACAAAGCCGATGGTTCAATTGAACGTTACAAGGCAAGATTGGTGGCCAAGGGCTTTATGCAGACTTATGGAGTAGACTACCAGGAGACATTTGCACATGTTGCTAAGATGAACTCTGTTAGAGTCCTTCTCTCCCTTATCTCCAATCTCGACTGGCCTCTCCGTTAATTTGATATGAAGAATGCTTTCCTCCATGGTGATTTGGAAGAAAAAGTGTACATGGACATTCCCCTAGGCTTTGAGGATGTTAAAACCGAAGGGAAAGTGTACCGACTACACAAGTCACTTTATGGACTTAAACAGGCTTGGTTTGAGAGATTTACTTAGGCCATGCTGCAATATGGTTTCAAACAGAGTCAAGCTGATCATACTTTGTTTTTGAAACACTCACATGGTAAGACAACAGCTCTTATTGTCTATGTAGATGATATTGTACTCATAGGGGATAATGTTGAGGAGGTTCCTCGGTTAAAGGAGTATTTGGCCAATGAGTTTGAAATTAAAGACTTGGGCAGCTTGAAGTACTTTCTAGGTATTGAGGTTGCTCAGTCCAAAGATGGCATCTTTATATGTCAAAAAAAGTATGTGCTTGATTTGCTAAAAGAAATTGGACTGCTTGGCAGTAAAGCTTGTGATACATCACTAGAGCCTGAACTGAAGCTTAATGAGGATCAAGGAGGCGAGCTTGTAGACAAGGGGAGGTACCAGAGTCTAGTTGGCAAGCTTATTTACTTATCTCATTCGCGCCCTAACATTGCTATTGCAGTGAGTATGGTTAGTCAGTTTATGCATGCTCTACATGCAATTCACTTAGAGGCAGTTATGCGGGTTCTAAGGTACTTGAAGTCTTCTCCGAGAAAGGGTCTCTATTTCTCCAGACATGGTCATCTTAGTGTGGAGGCATATACAGATGCTGATTGGGCTGGATCAGTCACTGATAGACGGTCAACCTCTGGCTATTGTACCTTTGTTGGAGGAAATCTAGTTACTTAGAGAAGCAAAAAATAGAATATAGTTGCGCTGTCTAGTGCAGATGCTGAATTCAGAGCTATGGCTCAATGGGTGTGTGAGCTATTATGGATTAGATTATTTTTTAGGGATTTGGGGATTGATCAGACAGATTTGATGAGGCTATACTGTGACAACAAGGCAGCCATCAATATCGCTCACAATTCCAATTCAGCATGACAGGACCAAGCATGTGGAGATTGATAGGCATTTTATCAAGGAAAAGCTCACTAGAGACACTATATGTATGCCATTCATGAGGTCTGAGGACCAACTGGTTGATGTTCTCACCAAAGGATTAGGGAATAAATCATTTCGTGACATTCTCAACAAGCTGGGCATGAGAGATATCTTCGCACCAGCTTGAGGGGGTGTTAGAATGTATTAGAACTATTTCCTATTTCATCCTTATGTATATTTAGTATCTTTATTGCCTTAGGGTGCTCCTGTAATTATGCTAATCATTTAATATAAAAGGGAATGAGATATCACTCATACTTCTAACTTTTCTCTTTCCAAAATAAACAACCTAAGGATAGGTGAATGGACCTACTCAATTTTGTTTAACACTTATGTAGACACCCCATATTTGACCGACCTTAAGACTCAGACATCATCGATTGAGCGCTCGGTGATAGTACATGTTGTGCTCATTCGAGTTTTCAGAGTTTTCGGCTAAGTGCCTTGCCTCCGAGCCTCTGAACTCTTTGTGTTTTGGCTGGGTTTGTGGACCAAGCCCTATTGACCTTCCCTGGAGGGAGAGAGAGAGGTCTAAGAGACCACTTTTTGTGGTCGTAGACCATTTTTCCCTTTTGAAAACTAGTTTCCGGTTTTTGGAGCCTTCGGTCGCGCGCCTTGTCTCAGGACCGCTTAACGTTCTCTGTTTGGCTTGGTTTTTGAACCATGCCTCGTTGCCTTGTTCTAGGGGGACACTGAGGTCTAGGAGACCACTTTTCCCTCGTAGACCGTTTTTGGTGCCCGTAGACTAGTTTTCGAATCTCCCGGTTGCGCGCCTTGACTCGCAGACTTTCGTCTTGCATCCTTCTTGGTTTGTTTTTGGCACAAATCTTGTTTTCCTTGCTTGGAGGGTGGAATAAGGGTGGGAGACCAGTTCTCCCCCTTGGAGACCACTTTTTTTCCCGCCAGCCAATTTTTTGGTCGGCCAACTGGTCTCCTTGGTCTTTGGACCATCAAAAGTGGTCGGCCACCACACCATTGGCTTTCTTTCAGTGTGCAGACCACCTCCCCCCATGGCCGACCACTTTATTTCCTGGCAGACCACTTGTGGTGGTCGGCCGACCACTACAAGTAGTTAGCCAACCACTTCAAGTGGTCAGCAGCTTTCCATCACCTTTTTGGAGATATTTTCTTGCCAGCTGTGACAGCTGGAAGGCACAGAAGTCATCCTCCATACACGTGTATAGAGGGATGGCTTAGAGCCTCAAGTGTGTTCAACAAGCTTCTTGCTTGATTTTCTATAAGAGGGAGGCCCTCCCCCCCTTCTCCAAGTTAAAAAAAAAAGGGCTGAGAATTATACATTCATCTTTGTATCTATCATGCACCTTCTCTTCATTTTTGTGCTTGAAAGTGCATTTTCATCATACTATTGCACACAAACACACACTCAAACACCACCCTTTTGTTGCTGAGGTACCTTGAGGTTGGTTTTGGAGTTGTTGGACTGGTTTTGATCCAAAATAGCTGCTGGAGTTGTTACTCTAAAGTGGTTCTACAAGGGTGAGCTTCTAACCTCTTAATTCCCTTGTTTTGTTTAAGCTTTTGGCCCTACTTACATGTTGTTTTAGGCCTAACTTTCTACTGTTAAAAGTGCTGATTTTGCATGCTTGTAATGTTTGTTTGAGGTCTGTTTAGTGTTGGGGGTGGTCCACCTCCTCTTGTGCCTTGTTTGGCCTTGTTTTGTGCTTTCCTTTTAAGCTATTAGGACCACCTCCTTTTGGCCTTCTCACCACTAAAACTCAGAGGAATTTCAGTGGTGGAAATGGTGTTTTGAGATCCCAAATAGGAGAGGGTCATCCGCTCTTCTTATATCTTGGATGCTTGCTTCATTTGCCTCATGTTTGAGCATGTTTGTTAAGCTTGTGTTGGCTCCATCTTAGCATATATTTGGGGTTATTTTGACATGGCATACCACTGTTTTAATTTGGTTTTGTCACCTTACGCATGCCTTATACACTTGTAGTGTAAATGTTACAAACTAGCTTTGTGTGCTTCATGAAGTAGCATGTCTTTCTAGCATGTTTTGAGTCCATCTCAGCATGTTCTTGGTGTTGTTTTGCCATGATATACCTCTGTTAAGGTTTGGTTTGATAGCCCCATACATGCTCCATGCACTTGTAGTGCATTTCCATTCACTAGTCTAATGTGTATCATGCTTTTGATCATCATTCTAGCATGTTTTTGGCTCAACTTTAAGAAGCTTTTGTCCATGTTTTAGCATGTTTAAGCTCTGATTTGTGTTGTTTTAGTCATGCATACATTGCTTTGTATAGCCATGGTTCAATCTTGCTCACTAGCTTTGTGTATTGAGTCCATTAGCATGCATTACCTGGACTATTTTCATGATTTGGCATCATTTGAAATGCGATTTCAGTACATGTAGTGTGGTCATACACTTGCATTTGTCACTCTTTCAATGCTTTGAAGAGTTGGTCCTTTATGCCCTAAACATGAGTCATTGTGTATGCCTTCATGCCTAAACTTGCGAGCTATCATTTCAGTATGTTTTGGGGGTTATTTTGCCATAATATAACTCTGATTTTTGTTGGCGAAGCCATCTCATGCTTGGTCTTAGTAGGTGTAGTGTAATTCTCCCTTTTGGCCTTGAATGTTTCATGCTTTATGATCACCATGCTAGCTTATTTTGGCTTCCTTCCATACATGTTTTAGCATCATTTTGACATGCTCTAGAACTGTTTTGGGTTGTATTTGCCATATGTTTCATGTATTGCATAGTTGTAGTGCAAGTACATATGCTAGCTTCAAGCTTTGAGTACCATAGCATGCTTCATTTGTGACATGTACATGATTTGGCATCATTTAACATGGCATTTCAGAGCATATAGCATTGCCATGTTCCCATTTCTTCCACCCTTTGAGTGCCTCTAAGGGTTGTGCATTGTCACCTTGTTTGCGGCCTAATGTGTATGCATGCATGCCTAGGCATTTGAGCCCCCATCTCAGCATGTTTTGGTCTTTGTTTTGACCTATTTGAGCTCTGTCCATGGTTGGTTCATGCATTTGTGCCATGTATTGTATGCCCCTTGTATAGTCCTCTTTGCTAGCTTTAATGCTTTAAGGACCCTTGCATGCTATGCTTGTATTATTTGAATGATTTGGCATCATTTCATACCTAATTTCAGTGCTTATAGTGTTGTTGCACTTCCACATTTGTCACTCCTTGAGCACTTTTGAGATTTTTGTTCTTAGGCCTAGTTCATGGGCCAATGCATGTGCATGCTTTGTTTTGCATTCATGCCATCATTTCATCATTATGGCCACTGTTTTGGCATGACTGAGGTTCGTCCATATTCGGTTTAAGTTCATTGAGCATGTTTGTTTACATGTTGTTTGCATGCTTATGTTGCCTTGCATTGTGTATGCATGTCCTTAGCGTTGATAGGTTGCTCATGTTGCATTGCATGTGTTTGGATTAGGTGTTAGTCCAAACACGAGAAACGAGGGACGTTTCATACTTGAAGTGATGAAACGTGCCTCATTTCTCAGTCGCCGACCCTCTTGATCAAGCATGATAGAGGTTAAGGCATTAATGTGTTATGTGTGCATTCATTTACATTGATTCGTGCAATCTTGCCTCTTTGGCCATCATGCATCGAGATGCGCGATTGGTGGCCCGAGAGTCGAGAACCGCACTCCCTTGAGATCATGAAATGATAGGGAGAGTGGTTGTGCACACATAGCTTGCAAATACATTGCTATGCCCCTTCTTGGTCTCTGTTGCAGCAAACTGGAAGAGTGCAGCAAAAAGTGGTCGGCAGACTAGTAAAAGTGGCTAGCTGACCACTTTTTCTGGTCTGCAGCAATGGTAAATGGTTTACAGGTGGTCTCCCACACCAACAACTGGTCGACCACCCTCTTGAGGGTCCCTAAGGTGAGTTAGAAGCTATCTGGAGCTTGGTGTAAAGTTCTGAGAACAATTGAAAATAGAGGCAAGTTGGGGCATCGCGGTGGATTTCCGAACGAGGCGATCGAGCATGCATATACTCTTCTTCCTCCGAAGACATCTCTTCTATTTGTTTTACTTCGCTGATTTGCTTAGCTAGTTAATGCTTTGTTTTTTTGTACTTAATTAGTTAATGCGCTTAACTATTCAATTTGTGTTGTAATAACTAGTTAGTTAACTTGTTAGTTAATTAGCTTGTTTTGTAATGATTAATTTAATTAGCTTAGATTAGCTAGTTAGCTCATTATTCGGACCCTCCTGCGAGAGGGCACAACTGTTGTAATAAGCATGCGTGTGTGCGATGCATGTCTTCCAACCTCCATTTCTTTCTCCCTTCTATTTACCAGCTTTTGATGGTTAGTTTAGGGCATGTTTCAATTAGCATACTTATGTTTCACATGCGTGCATCCATTCATCTGTTTTGCATGCACCGGGCTCGGCGCATCATACTAACTGCATTGTATTTCAATACATTTACTTGAATACATGTCCAACAGCATGTTATCAAGTTGCATTCACATGACATCTTAGGATAGCCGAGCCTATCTTAGTTGCATTTTTGCATGTGTTGCATTAGCCATCTTAACATGAACTAGGATCATGTATGATTTCTAACTAGTTCTCTATTTTGGCTCGGAGTACACTGTGAGTGTTTACGCTTTAGCATACTTCATGAGATGTATATGTTGCCATGTATAGCATGCTTGCCATGAGGCTAACTACTTAAGTGATTAACTGCTTGAATGCCTGCGGGTGAAGGTTGGATTGCTTGAATTGGAACAAT